CACTCAGAAGAGAACCCTCGGCTTTCAAGGCATGGGCGACGGCACAGAGGAACGAGGCTCTAGGCTTCAAGCCGGCAAGCGAGTCGACCCAAATACTCGACGTTCCCCGGCCAGACAATTTCACCCCACGCGCTGCCGACCAAGAGCCGCTGCCAGAGGAGCTTCAGCCCTCGGTCAACCTCACCCGCAAAGCCTTTGGCGTGACCGTGACAAGAACGCCCGAGATTCAGGAAGCTCGTCTCAAACTCCCCGTCGTGGGCGAGGAGCAGAGGATTATGGAGGCCATTCACAACCACGACATCATCGTCGTGTGCGGTTCCACCGGTTCCGGAAAGACGACACAAGTACCTCAATTTCTCTACGAAGCAGGCTACGGCTCGCCCGACTCCCCGACGTCGGGCATGATTGGTGTGACGCAGCCGCGTCGAGTAGCCGCTGTTAGCATGTCAAAACGCGTGGCCGAGGAGATGGGCGATCACTCTGAGCGTGTCGCCTACCAGATTCGCTTCGAGGGCACGACGAGCGCCAAGACGGCCATCAAATTCATGACGGATGGTGTGTTGCTCCGAGAGATCGCGCAGGATTTCTCGTTGAAGAAGTACTCGGCCATCATCATCGATGAGGCGCACGAAAGGAGCGTCAACACGGACATCCTGATTGGCATGCTCAGCCGCATCAACAACGTCCGCCAGGAGGACCAGAATGGTTCATCGCCACTGAAGCCTCTCAAGATCATCATCATGTCGGCTACCCTCAGGGTCGAGGACATGACGCAAAACTCCCAGCTATTTGCAACGCCGCCGCCTGTCGTCGAGGTCGAGGGTAGACAGCACCCTGTCACAATCCACTTCGCCCGCAGGACACGACCAGACTACGTTGACGAACTGTACAACAAGATCAGCCGGGGTCACAAGAAGCTGCCTCCTGGAGGTTTCCTCGTGTTTCTGACGGGCCAGAATGAGATCGTGCAGCTGAGCAAGAGGTTGGAGGCAGCTTTTGGTGGTCTGACCTCGGCGAGCGGCCCCAAGGTGCAGATCTCCGCGAGCGAGGCGCCGATGGAGGTTGAGGATATTGAATTTGGTGACGTTGACGACTTTGACGCTGGAGAGATTGACGATGAGATTTCAGACGGCGAGGGCGACGAGGACGAAGACGAAGAGTTCAAAATTGAGGAGGAGGGTGAGACGGGCCCCTTGAAGATGCAGGTGCTGCCACTCTACTCTCTCCTGCCAACGCGCGAACAGATGCGTGTCTTCAAGGAGCCGCCAGAGGGCACGCGACAGGTCATTCTCGCAACCAACGTTGCCGAGACGAGTCTTACGATTCCTGGAACGAGGTACGTCTTCGATTGTGGCCGCTCCAAGGAACGCCAATACGACGAGGTCAGCGGTGTCCAGACGTACGCCATCGGATGGGTCAGCAAAGCCAGCGCAAACCAGCGATCTGGTCGCGCTGGTCGTACGGGGCCCGGTCACTGCTACCGCCTGTACTCGTCGGCAGTGTATGAGAGGGATTTGCCTCAGTTCTCTGAGCCTGAGCTCTTGCGCATGCCCATTGATGGCGTCGTGTTGCAGCTCAAGTCCATGAATCTCTCCAACGTAGTCAACTTTCCCTTCCCGACACCCCCTGACCGAGCAAGCCTCCGCAAGGCAGAAAGGCTCCTCCACTACCTGTCAGCCATCTCGACCGAAGGCCAGGTGACGCGCATCGGCTCGACCATGTCCATCTTTCCGCTGTCGCCGCGCTTCGCTCGCATCCTCCTTGTCGGCCACCAGCACGACTGTCTCCAGTACACCATCGCGCTCGTGGCAGCGCTGTCGGCGGCCGAGGTCTTCATCCCCGAGAACCAGGCGATCCCCTCACTCGAGGCAACAGAAGACCACGCGCTGCGCACCAACGCCGTCGTCGCGGCCGAGGACCGCCAGGCCACGATCCGGCGTGCGTTCAACGGCGTGCAGCGAAACTTTTGCTCGCTCGACGACAAGTCGGACGCCATCAAGCTGCTGCAGGTCGTCGGCGAGTACGCGCACGAGCCGACCGAGGCGTGGTGCGAGAGCCACTTTGTGCGGTACAAGGTGCTCAAGGAGATCCAGCAACTGCGCCAGCAGATTGTCGAGCTGCTGCGCACCAACGTGCCGTCGTTCCAGAACCTGCGGTTCCAGGACCGCCTCGACCGCCCCACGGACAGGCAGGTCGCCTACCTCAAGCAGATGGTGGCCGCCGGCTTCATCGACCAGGTGGCCATCCGCGCCGACAAATCGCCCACGCCGCCAGAGAACGCGCGCAAGCCCCGCCGCGCCATCGACGTGCCGTACCTGCCGCTCGTGCCGCTCGGCGTCGGCGCCGACGTTGAAAAGTTTGTCTACCTCCACCCTTCGTCGCCCCTAGCGCATATGAGCCCCCAGGAACTGCCTGAGTACGTCGTCTACGCGTACCTGCAGCGCGCGACGCAGGGGGTCGACCCGACCAAGACGCCCAAGACGAGGATGCACGCGCTCACGGACGTGACGGGCGGCCAGCTCGCCGGGCTGGCCAAGGGCACGCCGCTGCTGACGTACGGCAAGCCGGTTAAGGAGGTCAGGGCCACGGCCACCGAGAGGGAGGTTTGGGTCGTGCCATACCTCAGGGCCGAGGGCGTCGGGGGCAGCGGCTGGCCTCTGCCGATGAAGAAGGTGATTGAGAAGAGGGAGGTTGGCAAGGGCTGGGTGGTGCAGTAGGGTGGTG